GACTTTGCCCCCAGGTAGACACTACAGGGCTGGGGAGGGGGTACAGTGTATCCAGGCTTGGCCCCAGGACACAGAGGGTGCCCATGGGGGTGCCCCCCACCACGGAGTGGACCCTGCACAGAGACGAGATGGCACTGGGAGCAAGGATGGAGCTGTCCTGGGAACAGTGTGTATAAGTGTGTACAGAAATAAATATGTCTAATTAAGCTGGGCTGGCACCTGCCTGAGGAGGGGACACTGTTTGGGCTGGCACAGCCACCATCACCCCGTGGGGCCAAGGGATGGGGACACTGAGTGTGACAGGGACAGTGGCAGTAGCAGGGCAGGACATGACATCCCCACACTGTCCCTGGCACCTATGTCATACCAAAGAGATCACACATCTGTGCCATGGGGCAATGGAGCTGCCAGCCCCCAGGCTGGGCTCAGCTGATGCTGGGCTGCAGGCTGATGGCTTGTTAATTATCAGCCTAATTAAGCCTCATCTGTGGCTGTGGGGGCTTAGGTCTCTGCCACATCAGCAGTTCCTGTGCTGGAGCTCCAGACCCCTGCAGTGGGGTGTCCAAATGAGGATGGCTTGGGTCACTTGTCCCCTGCATTGTGTCACAGGGGGCTGTCCCTAAGACTCCCAGAGCACAGCTTCTCACCTCCCTACAGCTCATCCTAGTGGTGCCCAGCATAGCACAGGCAGGCAGTGAGTTGTTTCCCTCTATCTGGCAGGAATTGTGCTTTAGGGCTCCCACTCCCTATTAAGAGACTGTCCCCAACTGCCAGGTCGATGGAATCCAGTGCCCCCAGTTCTGTTTGTTTCCTAGTTGGTAGCACTGGAGCTGGTGGGAGGTTAAGGTCCCCATGGACATGGCCAGGGCAGGGTCAGCCCATGGACTTGTGTAAGACTGGGGGCTCACAGTGACTCCCACTGCACAGGGCTGCCAAGGGGGCTGGGGCCCCCAGGGACTGAAACACCCACTCTAGGGCACAGTCATTGTGGTCAGGGGCACAAGGTGTAGGGGCACCTTTCATCCCTCTAAATAGAGCAAGAACAGACTTGATGGCAGTTGCCACAGCCCAGAGGGTTTGAGGTTTCTCCAAACCCTCCTCATGGCTGTCTGCAGCACCAGGAGGGTCTCGGGTCTGTGCCAAGAGGGTGCCAGGAAGGAGGACAAAGGCAGCAGTTCCCTTAGGGAGCACTTGCAACAGGTCCCCTCATCGCACGCTCTTGCATCACCACCCCAGAGTGCCAAGTAGTGCAAGGGGCTGAGTGTCCTGTGTGTGTTCCCCCCCTGCAAAGATGACACAAGATGCAGCTAAATTCAGGAGAACTTTACTTAAATAAATATATTTACAGAGCAGCAGCTATTACAGAGCAGATCTGGCCATGCACAGCCAGTAGAGGGCAAGGGGAGGCTGTGCCAGGCACTGCAGCAGCCTCCCCCCAGGCATTGACCTAGCGGAGTGCTGAGACCCCCAAGGACTGGGGGGGACAGAGGAGGACACCAGCCCTCACTGCAGCATCTTCCTGCAGGGCAGGGCTGGGAGGCTGAGTGGCAGGAGGTTCGGCAGCACTGGGTTGCTCTCCTCTTCCTTCTGCTGCTCCTCAGTGGCATCCAGGAGCTGCTGCATGTAGCAGGAGGTGCCGAGCAGGACATGACCGGTGGCCTGCATAGTGAACAGTGTCCAGCGCAGAGCTTCCCTGGGCAGGGAAAAAGGGGGTCAGCATCCCTCCTGGCACCCCACAGAGGGCATGGGCAACAGGGCTGCTCCCCTGGGCAGTGTCTGGGGCTGTCCCCAGCCCCTCAGCACTCACTTCATCAGGCGCCTGGCCCCGTAGCAGCGCAGGTCATAGGACATGCTGTAGGTGCCATAGAGAGTGGCTTTGACGTTGAGGCAGCCCAAATCCTTTGGGTGAGTCTTGTACAGATCGAAGGTGACACAAGCAACATCAATCCTCCGAGGGGGCTTGCGGGACAGGCTCAGCTGGTAGCCAGGGGTCTAGGGGAGAGTGGGACCACAGTCACCCAGTGGCACACCACCTGCCAAGTCCCACCTCACTCATCATCCTACTTGCACACTGATCCCAGCACAGGATAGACAGGACAAACCACCCTCCCAGGGGTGCACTCACCTTGGAGGCAGCCCAAGTCTGCCCCTTGCTCAGGGCCATCAGTGCTGTGCCCTCCTCCAGTGTCCGGAAGAACGACTCAGTCTCCACTGCAGTGCCATCCTCATCCAACACCAGTGAGATGGGATGGGGCATGGCCAGGGTGCTCTGAGCCTGTGAGAGAGCTAGGGGTGAATGGAGCAGAGGGCAGAGAGCCCACCACACAGCTGGGTGGAGGGACAGACAGGCTGACCGACCCTACCTGGCGCAGCAGCTCGGCGAGGCTCCCTGCCATGACACCCTTGCGCAGGCTGCGGTCCCAGTTGCACACTCGGTAGGGCCGTGGTGGTGGGGCTGGGCCGGCCAGGAGCTGCTGGGTCATGGAGGCACTGGCTGAGACACATCTGGGGAGGAAGAGAAGGATAGAGGTGTCCTGAGACCCATCACCATCTCCTGGAGACATCCCCAGTGTGGCAGCACCCCAGGACTGGCAGCATCCCCAATGTCCCAGCACCCCAGGACTGGCAACAGCATTGTTGTCCTCAGGGTGTCAGCACCCCAGGACTCAGTGGGGAGCAGCACATCACTCAGGGAGCAGAGGTGCTGAAGCAGGGAGGGCTTAGATATCTCCTACCCCAGGAACAGTGACTCCATGGCACTTACTTGGAGACAGGAGCAGCCAGGCGCTGGCTCAGGGATTTGGCGTAATCCATCTTCCAAGGAGCACAGAGCAGCCTGTGGGGAGGAAGAACTGAGCCCTGCTTCAGAAGACCTTCCACCAGCACTTTCAGCTACCGTCTACTTTAGGAGACCTTCCCACCAGTACCTCCTGCTCCTGTCTGCTCCAGAAGACCTTCCCACTGGCACTTTCTGGTCCTCTTCACTCAATGAGACCTTCCCACTACTACTTCTTACTCCTGTCCACGCCAGGAGACCTTTCCACTGGCACTTCCAGCTCCTGTCTGCTCCACAAGTCCTTCCCACAGGCACCTCCTATGCTCTACTCCGTCACTGTTGCCTTTACAGGGGCTGTGCCTGCCCTTTGGCCAGGCCAGGCTGTTGGTGGCACCCGGGCAGAGTCCCCTGCCAGCACAGCTCTTGCGCAAAGGACACGTGGGGCCCTGAGTCAGTGCTGGAGCAAAGGTGAGACACAGGCACTGGGCTCTGCTCACACCCTGAACTGGAGCTTTGGGAGTTGGGAACACCCATGGGAGCATCCCCAACCCTGCTAATGCAGGATAACTCCAGCCAGGAGACTTTTGGGGGCCTCCAGGGGGGGGGACCTCTAGCCAGGAGACTTTTGGAGGGCTCAGGGGCTACCTCTAGCCAGGAGCCTGCTGGGGAGCTCAGGTGCTACCTCTAGCCTATTAGGGGGAGGGCTCCAGGGATATCTCCAGCTAGGAGCCTTTTGGTGGGCTCAAGAGATACCTCTAGCCAGGAGCCTTTTGGTGGGCT